GTGTGTGTGTGTGTGTGTGTGTGTGTGTGTGTGTGTGTGTGTGTGTGAGTGCTCGGACGCGGTTTTTTATGATACTTTACTCATTAGAATTTATTCAAACAACGCAAGCACGTACATAACGAACTAGTTATTTGCCCATAAATCGGAACAAATGTGAAAGAAACATAAATTGTCGACGAGCTCAGTGGTAAAACGTTCGCTTCATAAGCAACTACACCAAACACAAATGTTAATCAACGAAGCGAACGAACGAATTTACAAGCCATAGAAAGCACACACACACCAAATACTCACAATAACACAAATTCACGCAAAAAAACAACAACACAACAAACATTGAAACAGGAAAAAGCTCAACGCCAAACAAAAAAACAAATCGAGTAAGTGGTAAGAAATAATGAAAGAATAAATTATATCATGTACACATAGAATGCGAAGGCCAATGATTCGCAAGCAACACACAACATTTCTCGTTTGGCTGACAATAAGAAAAGCGATCGTGAGGTGATTGAGAGAAAGAGAGCGGGAGAGAGAGAGAGGTAAGGCGTCATGTAATAAATAGAAACAATAGTGGAATTTCAAAATTTAGCACACTCCCACATTTTGATATGGAGAAAATTGAAATCACATTCTTTTCTTTACCGACAAAACGCGAAATTCCAGCCCAAAGAAAGAAAGAAACAAACGTTTTCAGTACAATAAGAGATGAAATTCATCGTTTAAATCGTACAGATACCCAATTTTTTCGTTAAATTAACAAAATATAGCGTGATTTTCGTTCTTAATAGCGCAATTTAGTTCCCACCAAATAGGAAAAACATCCCTTAGTGATATAATTGGTTATGTTGGAATTAATTGTCGGCGAATGGAATTTTCTTTCGAAATTAAATGAGAAGCTCCCTTTTTCGACAATTTTTTTTTATCGTCACTCGTTAAAACTATGCTTCGGACGATATCAAACGCCGAAGGACAATCACATGAATTTTCAATCGTTAACAATAATCAATTCAAATGTAAATTAAAAACGTTTATGCTATAAAAACGTGGTAAGATATCGAAACACCTTCAAGAATGCTTGTCAATCAATCATTCGAAAATGAAGTGATGAATAAAGTGGAAAATGTCTGAGCGAATTAATGAAGAAAAAAAAACGAATCAAACGAAGAACCATTTTAGAATTAAACGTTTGAAAGTGCATTTTATAAAAAGATGGGGGGCATTTTTTTTCTTCTTCTTCATAATTGACAATTGAAAAATAATTGGCGCGCCAGAATATAGAGCGCATGGTGGAAAAAAAGATGAATTAAAAGTTAAGTACTTTTTAATTTGATTCAGTCGATTAAAATTCATTTGATTGGTGGTGTCATTTTCTTTTTCTGACATTGACACAATCCATTTTTGAACATTTTTATTTGTACATAATTGAATTGTTCAAAAAAAATTATCATTTTCTTATGTTTTACCGTCAGTTTAAAAATTCAATCAATTTTCACTGGTTGAATTGATACTCAAAATGATGGCCTGGTTCGGTGCAATTTGAAAAATATACCGAACACTTGGTATTGCAGAGGGCTGTATTGAATGTTGTATGTGAGATGCTTGCGAAAAATAAATAGGTATGGAATAATTCAGAGCAAAATCGTGTCCACCAGCAGCCAAACACAGTTTGACCGTGTGCAATGAATAGAAAACAACAACAACAAAAAAATAACATGAAACTAGATTCACATCCACACATAGATATTTATCTAAACGCTTGCACGAAATGGATAGATTTGAAGAATTGGTTGCAAAACTGAAAGAAAAAAACACGAAAATACCTCACTGACCAAGAATCAGAAAGAGAGAATAAGCACAATAATAATAATAAAAAAAACAGTTTATACACAATCAGACGATTTGATTGAAGCCGACTTTGTGCATGTGGTTGCGTTTTTGGTGTGAAATAAATTGAGAAAAAAGGCGCACAATTCCATCTAAAAATAACAAAACGATTGAAAAAAAAACACACACGAGAAAAGCACAAACGCACACACACATATGGACAATCCCACAAACGGGCCCAACACATACACGCAGCCCAAGAAAAAGCAAATGGAATGAATAATGACCGAGACAAGAGAGAGAGAGAGAGAGAGAGAGAGAGAGAGTGAGAGGGAGAAAGAGATAGATACCAGATATCAAATAACCATTGAAAAGTAACGACAACAAGCGCGTCGAACCAACGTATTGACACCATACGCGTACGCTTGTATATGCGATGCACAGTATTTGTTCATAGATCGCGAATGAGAAAAGAACATACGAAAGAAAGAAACAGACAGCCAGACCAGAGCAACACAATGACGCTGAACACAATCGAAACCAGGTGGATGGACAGAGACGGTGAATAAATGCACGCTAGAAAAGAAAAGAAGAACTGAAAGAAATATATGAAGAGAGAAGACAGAAGAATAAAGAAGTAAAAAAAACAACACAACACACCAATTTAAGGGGTATGCTCACGAGTGCTTGATTTTGCTCAAACCTTCTTGCTTCTGGTTTCCTTCCTTAGTCGTGCGATGTTACTGTAACCGTTTACATCGGTATCGAATAACAGCGGCTTCGTATCAATCGAATTAATACAATTTAAACGAGTTCGAAACAGCCGCTCTTGCCGTTTGGTGCGTTTTTTTTTAATCAATTGTGTTTAGTAACTATTTCAAACACTTTGAATCATCCAAAGCATTAGATTGAATACAAAAAAATCGAGTCCAACAAAAAGAGAAAAAAATCATTTTTGATTCGAAAAACCTCATCGTATCGATATTTTTAGTTTTTTTTTCTCGTTCGCATCAAAAAATACACTTGCCGTGATTGATCTTTTTGCGCAGACACTGGACTCTTTTTTTTCTATATATTTTATCATAACGAGTCTTTTCTCCGAGTATTTCTGCGCAACGTCTGGATGAAAAAAAAAATCAGTAGTTGATTCTCTTTAGAAGAATAAAAAAAGACAAAATAAAGTGCCGAAATAGTGATAATTGTGATTATATCTTCGCGATCACAAGTGTTGTGCAAGTGAAAAACTTTAACTTAGTGCGAACAAACTGACTCAAAGATGATTTTAAAAGGGATCATCATGAACATTTAAAGGAAGGTTCTATACGCGAACGTTATAAATGCTCTTGTTTAATTTCAACTTGAATAAAAAAATAAAATAAATAAAACGAATTGGTTTTGAATCAAAAGTGAAAGCCTGAATAGAACCATCCAAAGACCGATTTAATAATTTTTTATGTGATTTAGATAGACTCGATGCGAGAGATTCTTGTGATATACGAAGTGATTGTGTTCCTAATGTTTTAAGCGACAGGGATTATGCAGCAAGATCAGTTGAAGATAGAAAGAGATAGAGAGAGAGAGAGCAAGAAAACAAAAAAGATAATAAAACTGTTTTGATGCTAAACTTATAAGAATCCAAACTAAACTCACAAAAAAATATATAAGAAAACGAACTCTAATACAAGATTTACAATTAAGATAACAGACATCACATCATTTTCAAGTGACGAACAGAACAATAAAAACTAAAAAGAAATACTTGTGTATATTAACTCATCTTAAAAGACAAAAATTTGAAGTACAAAATAGCCAATAAAATAGACCTTTAATAATCCATAAATAAAGACCAGTTGATTTGATTAAGTTAAGTCTATAGCCCAAAAACACACACAAACTCACACACAATTTAAGTTGATGCCGTTTGAAACTAGATAATAAAATCGACAAAACAAAAGAAAGATTGACTGAAAAAAGACAAAAACCGAACCCGTCGTAAAGGCTAAATCCAAATATTCATTCTCAATCTCGCTCACACAAGTATACACACACAAAAAAAAATCCGAAATTAAAAACAGAAACATTTGACGACACAGACACACGGTTTGCATCGCAAGTGGTCATATAATGTTGATTGGATCAAATTTGAATAGTGATTTTGGACCATTGCCAAGTGCCCCTTGGAATATGGAACCACCGAGATTACCACTCGCCACTGGCGGCGGCTCATTGCCACAATCAACCAACATACAATTGTCACCAACCGGTAAGCAAAAAAAACCACTCAAAAACCTACTTTAGCACAACATGCATGCAAAATAAGAATAAATCCATGACAATAGTCAGCCAGAGGAAAAACAATAATAAGAAGAAGCGAAAAAAAAATCAAGCGAAGAATGTTAAGTTAAGTTTTTGAATTTTGCCCGCGGCTTAGAAACCACCAAGAGACAGCTTTTTTGTTTCTCTCTGCATATTGCATGCTGTATATAAAAAATGTGTAGTTATTTCTCTTTTTTTCTGAAGTAGAATTTAAATTTGAGTGTCACTTGAATAATATAATTTAATTACATTTGAGTCCAGATTTTATTCCTTTTAAACAATTTTCATTGTTCGTTCCGTTGTTATTTCTTCGTACAAATTAAATAAATGAAAATATCACGTTGAACCAGCAATCATTTTCGTGCCCGTAGAACGCCACTTTGGCAAATCGTTGTGAGTAGTTTAGCTTTTTTTTTTTTTAAAAAAACGAACGCAGGTTCATTATTCGCTGCCAAATCAATATTTTAAACCATTTTCCGTCCAATGCAGATTGCTTGTTTAACCCATGACATTATTTTTTCACGTTTTGACGCTCCAATTTTCAATCAAAAAATACACATATGTCCTTAATTTGCTCACATTTTTTCTTTATTCGAAAATGCCCATCAGTGTGCATTTATATATTTTAAATGAATGCGAAAATTACACTTAACGATCATTGTGCATAAATAGCAGCAAAATATGTATTGATACAATGCATAATTAATTGCAATAAAATCGCTTCCATTTTCAATTTTATTTGACCGTTGCTAGACGACTTTATAGAAGAAGAAAAATGGTTTGGTCCGACTTATCACTCTATTCGTCTTGACATTTCGTGGAATTTTATTAAATAGTCATCGCGTCGTTGGTTTTTTTTCCACACATTTTAAATGTGTAATATAAACTTGTTGGTGGGTTTGAAATTGTTTTGCGTCATATTTTTTTGCGCCAACCATTTAGAAAATTTTCGAAGCCTTTTTCGCGCGTATTTGTCGTAAGCATACCGTTTGAGTGTCTAAATAAGCACAGCGTGAAAACAAAAAGGTTTGATTTTCCTGAGAGATTCTGAAGTTGTTGTTTTTTTTTATTCTGCACATTTTGTCCCTCTTTCAGTTCCAATCGCACACACACACACCCACACACACAAACAACATATTTCACACAACAATTCATAATTGTTTATTTAAACTGATGTCTATTTTCCTATTGGGTGTTTTATAATGACAACACACATTTTTCATATATGAACCATACATAATTTATGACACTTTCAATGTTTTGCCAAACAAAATCGATTGATTATTTTCCACGTTTTAGCCACGAAATCAAGGGGAATGTCACAAAAAACGTACTAGAATTATATCATTCGGAATAGGTCGAAATAGGTTGGAATAGTTTGGAATTAGTGGTAATGTAAATGTCAAAAAAAACGCCGATATGGTGACAGAAACATTTCAATATTCTTGTGAATATACTTTTTGTTGTAAATGTTTAATACATTTATTTAAATTATACAAAAAAATATATTCACAAAAATATTGAAATGTTTCGGTGCCGATGACTGAATTAAAAACCTAATGTTACAGTACAGTGTATTTGTTGACATTTACGTTGCTTCAAACTATTTCAACCTATTACGACCTGTTCCGAATTATATAATTCTAGTACGTTCTTTGTGACATTCCCCTTGCACGAAATTCTTGAATTTTCAATACTTTGATTGATAAATTACTTGTTTGCAATTTCTGAAGCAAGCATATTAACTGATTTATTCATCGAAATCAATTAAAAAACCATGACATGTGTGTATACATAGACACAAGCTCAATTGTGATGGTCTCAATCAGGCTGCTATTAAGAATGTTAACAATTTGATTAACATATGAATGGAATTGCTCATGTTTGTTGGACAAAAACGTTTTCCGGTTTTTTTTCTTCAAATGAAAATGGAGGAGCTATCGATTATCCCAATATAAAAAGTTCATTAATTGAGACAATATCAATTTTCTTGCCACATATACAAAGAACACTTCCGCGTGAAATGAACGCAAATGTATACAAAATATACAATAGATGCCATTCATTGAGTTTGAAACAATTGGGGAGTCTGAATTTAGACATACAAATTACTAAAATAGAAGTCACTTGAATCTGTATTCAACTAATCGCGAAATTCGTCAAACCTACGAATTTATACGGCAAATTCAATTGTATGCAAGTTCAAATGCAGCAATATGTCATTTTATAAATGTAAGGCAGATAATCTTGTCTCTTTGAAAATTTTGAAAATTTAAATATTTTACATGTTTAACATGCCTATTAACTACGTGTTGAAGTCATACCGACGGCTTAAATGGTACCACATTCGTTTTTATTCAAATTGAAATCAATTACTTCACAAAAATGGTTGGTTTCTTAAAGTGTAAAATAAATTTGTTGACCGTTCAAATCGTAAATAATTTATCGGATCTGTCATATATGCCATTGGTAAACGATATGAAAGACGAAAAAAATTCGGTGATAGATAAAGGATTGATGAAAATGGTTTGCTGTTATTTTCACGTAAAAATTTTATGATGCGCCCATTGTAAGCGACGAAAACACAAACGTAGTTTGATGTACAAAAGAGGTGTTATTCGAAAACAAATTTTGTCAACTAGAAGAACAAAAAATATGGTTGATTTGGTCTTGGCCTAGCAATTATACAATTAAAAAAGAAAATTTCTACTGAATGTCGTGATGGGCGCGCGATTTTGATGTGCCCCAAAGAACATTGACAATATAAACAATAATCTAAAGAAACAAAAAAAATATCATCATATTTTTCGGGGAAAAAAAACTTGAAATCGAATAAATAATCACGCACATGAATCGAATCAAACTCAAAAGAGACAATTTTTCGGAATTTCAAATATAGCTCGCACTCCATCCATTGATATTATGATAAAAAGGTCATATATGCACGATTGCCGATTTATTTCAATAAATGCTCATGTTCATTGGAAATCGATTTTCTACAAAACACAAAATCAAATTGAATTACATACACACACACACTCTTGGGAACAAACAGCAGCGAAAAAGGCTGCATTAGGATGGTGGTCTATGTCCATCGTTTGTCCGTGGCTTAGCTTTGAAACGCAAACTTTTTTTAATTGTAACCGAACCATACATAAGTATCAAGAAAAGAAAAAAACTTCTTGAATACATTAAAACGTGTAACGAAATGATAATGGGAAATCATTTTAAAATTTAAATCGCAACTAATTTGTTTCACGTTTTTCTTTTATTATTCTTTGAAATCGTTTCTTTTCTGATTCGTGCTTTTGTTTCGATTAGACGAAGAGTATTTCTCGAGTGTGTATTTTTTTGGCCGTTGTGAGAGTTCGTTCGTATTTTTTTTCATTCCCAAGTATTTTTCTGGTGCGAGCTCGAACACAGTTCAATCAATCAAATCGGCGTGTCCTCTACGCTTGTTTAGTGTATAATATTACAGCTAAACATTGTTTAAACACATTTTCATCCACGCACTGTGTGCGCACACACACACACACACATTTTACAGCGTACAGAACCCATTCCACATTGGGAGAAAAATCAATTTTTGACTCTTTTATTCCCCATTTGATTGCATTGTGTAATGGCCATATAGTTATTTTTATTCATTGAAAGCAAGAGAGAGAGAGATGTGAACAGTGAACACTCTTTCAGTCAATTAATCAATAGGCGCTTAAAATTGGTATTGTTGGTGTCTTTTTTTATTGTACAAAAGCGCTGATTTTTATTTTGTTCATGAATAGATTATAGTAGTGTGTGTGTGTGTTCGTGTATGAAAATTGAAAATCGTTTAACCAATAAGTAGTTTTTCTTGTGTCTGAATTATTTCGACTCGCCCGTCAGTCAATGCGATAATTGTTTTCGGTTGGCCGTTTTATAGTCACCTTTTTTTCGATCTTTTCTTTTAAATCGTGCTAGTTGTCATAGTCACACAGTTTAGGCCACCATTATTTTGCTTAGCATAAACCGTTTCGTCCACGCACATTCTCTATGTCTGCGCTGAATATACAGCGAGACTCATTGGCTACGAGTAACAATAAAACTAATTATCGGCGCAGCGCTTTCAAATGCAACAACTTAAAGATGAGAACAAAAAAAAACAATACAACAACGAAGAAAGAACGAGACAAACGATAAAGCTCAGGGGTCATTTTCAAAGTGACAGAAAACGACGGATGTATGGGAGCGAAGAAAAGTCAAACTGAAAAATATTACTGTTTAATGTAATTAGTCGATTTGCGACGGACCGAACAAAATAATCGTGCAAGCACGATACCCAAACACGTCATTCGATTGTCCATATCGAATTTTCGATAACAAAACGAGACTACACAAAATGACCACATTGTTTAAGCATTTGACAATCAGTTTGATTTTAAACAATAAAACAATGCCACTATTTCAAGCCAACAAATGTTTTTTGTATGACCCAAAGATGTCATCGTTTTTTTTATGAGTCTCCGAATATGAATACGATTAATTATATGACATATTTCGTTGTATCGATTCGACATAATTGCAAGATAAAATATGACACACATCTGTCAATGATGACAGACTGCCATCGTCCGATGATGGAAAATCCACTACACACATTCTGTATGCGACACACAGATAGAGAGAGACAGAGAGAGAAAAAAAAATTAGGCTCAAAGCACAAGTAAAGCTTACAATGATCGCACAAACTGTGTAATTTGGACAAATATTGCGGAACTTGAACATTTTCGAAATTACGAAAGTTCATACGAAACATGGTTGACGGTGGTAATTTTGGGATTTGTTTCACGATTAAATGCCGTTTCACACTGTAACACATTTTTTGCAAAATTATTGTCATGTGGAACGCATCGATACTCGGTGGCCGTCTGTGCGATGTTGTTGCATCGTACACATTCACAAATGTGCGCGCGCGAGCAAAAAAAAAGAAAAATTATGAGTAAAAATTAGAGGAAAACCTATTGAGTTCGCACAAAACGATTAGTGTAAATAATTCTCTTATTTAGCACATTGGCTTTAATTTTTTTCCTTTTCCTTCTCAATCCAGTATAAGCGCGCTGTAGTTACAGAGTTTATACGTTGTGCGAATAACTTCAACGACACTGTCTGAAATGCATTCATTTCTCGACTCGTGTGTGTGTATTTTTCTATATATTTCAAATATAATCAATATTGTAAAGCGACTACTGAAACAGGAAACCTATAATCAATTTTGCACATGCACACGCTTAAAACGGTCATAGAAAGAAAAGAAAACGGTGCAATAAGCGAGAGAAGGAGAGAAAAACCTACGGCTAATGATATTTGTTTCGCTTTTGTACGATTCTTAAAAATGCATTGCTTTGCGTTTGTCTCCCTCGGTGAAGCTTTTTGTTTTTTCATTATTTCTCTATACATGTTGTATGTGTTGTCGTTGCCGTTGCTGTTGCAGCGATTAAATTTCACAAAAATATTTGCTCTCTACTTGTACATACATACAGAAGCAACGTACGAAACACAGAAAATGACAATGGTGCAAAGAGATACACACTGAGAAAGAGAGCAAACGAATGAAAACACTAAAGAAAAAGCACGTGTATATTTAGTCGAGGTGTGATGAATGCGTATGAAAGCAAGTGATTATCGAATATTGAGGATGAAAAATGTTTCGTTTTTTGTTGTTATTGTTGTTGCTGCTGCTGCTGCTGCTGGTGCTGCTATCGACAGTATGTATGTTTTTTTTTTCCCCAACTGGCCTCTGTTTCTTCTCGTCTTTTTCTAACCCAATAAACAATTGTTGGGGCAAATTCATCCATTATCGGGCATATGTTGACGGTCAATTTTGTGGCCGGATTTGTGTGTAGTTTCAGTCATTTTCAACGTCACCAGTGGAAGAAAAAGTTAGCTAAAATCTATAGAGCCATATTTCTATCGGCGAAAATGGATTTTTTTCGAATGTTATTTAACTGAGCGCCACATCCAAATTAAATTCATTTTTAACATTTGATAAAATAATACTTACCTACAGATAAATCTGTACTGAACTGTGTACAATTACACATTTAGACAATGTGTACTATACACAATCACCAAAGCCACAAAATACAAGCTTTGCTACTAACTACCAGAGTTATTATATTTTTTCTTTTTGATTTCGACGCTGCTTAATCATTGATCTGGAACAACGTTTGCATTGGCTCTTCTGCGTGCTGGTTGTCCTCTACGCAATGGTGGTCTTGGAGGTGCTGGTGCTCTGACATACGAGTTGTGCATTTCCAAATTGAATATGTAACAAAGACCTGTAATTAATAAGAGGCAATTTAATTTATTGGAAAATATATCAAATAAATTACAGTGTTTACCTTTGTACATGATGCATCTAGCCGCAACAATGTCTCGATGCCAAACGGTGCAAAATCGTTTTTGATGTTGCTGTTGTTGTTGTTGTTCCGGATATTTATCAGCGTCGCCTCCCATTTGAATTGCATTCACAGGGTTTAGTAGCCAGTTTTTCAGAAAGTACATTTTCTTTGACTCTAATCGCCCTGGTTGAAATTCTGCTGGTTGATTTGCTGGATCCATGATGCCTCTTGCGATCAATTTCTTCACGCAGCTATCTTTCTTTTTGCGTCGTTGACTCTTCTTCGTCACAATTAGCCGTGGTAGTGAGATATACGGTTCTATTTCTTGTGGTATTGGTGCATCGCGAGTACAGTTACGGCACACTTTGAATCGATATTTTTGTGTTTGAATCGGGAATTTCTTCTGGCAATTCGCACAGTGTTGAGATGTGAAATCTTCATTCACTTTGTGTACATCTGAATGGCCAAGTTTTTTAACGCTGCATTGAAGATGCCGTGTACCTGGGCATCGTTTTCCCTTTTTTATGCCAATTGGTGAATTGGGTGCCATATCCACTGCTCCGATGTTTATAAGCGATGGCTCATTCTTTGTTATTACTTTCGCCAGCCAATCTTTCTCACCTTGTGACCCGATGTATTTGTCAAACGAAAGTCGTGCATAACGTCGCCGAGCATATGCAGCCACTGCATCTTTCACCATGGTTAATCGATGCCTGACGTAATTTCTCCATCGGATTCCTCGCGGTGATGGTATCGATGGATAGCTTTCACGGTCCAATTGCTCTCGTTGCGTGAATCTGGCAGTCATACGCTTTCCCATTTTGTCTCTGACTTTTTGTCCGGCACCCCAATGATATGACTTCGAAGATATCTTGAAATTTTCCTTTAACAAAAAAATTTAAAAATGAGCATTGATTTTTGTAGAAAACATTTTATTTAAATATAAACTCACCTCAGTGCGATCTTCAATATTCCGACGAATTCCGGCTAAGTATGTTTTCATACCGGGATCAATTGCGACGATGTATTTATACTCATTGTTTTCGAGTTTTTGCTTGATTCTTTGTCGATGCAGCTCCGTATTCTCGATCTCAGGCTTTGGTGTTCTGTACAATACCGACGCGGAAACGCTATCGCAGACTATCATATGATGAAACTGTTGGTTCGGTTTCTTGATCTCGTTGATTTTGTCCATGTTGAACAAAATGGCCCATGCTTCATCTTCGTTCTCCTTGTAATAGTTACGGCTATACATATTATGCCCTCCATGATCATTGTTAAATATCTTCGGCACAACTTTCCATTGGGCCAGCAGGCTCATCAAATCATCTTGATCGAATTTAATGTGTTTCAACTTCGAGTCACATATCGGTATGACGGTGAAATTTCTTATTTTTGGTGGCAATGGCTTGGAAGGTTTGCAATAAAAAAGCGGATGGCGTTGGTGTCGTAGCCATAATTGCACAAGATCGTGATGCTCTTCCAAAAATATACTTATTTCACGTTGAATGAAGATGAAAAACCACAACGATTCAAACCACTTTTTCTCGATGTATTCAATCATTGACAAACGTTCGCGAAATGATGGTAAACAGCGTACGGCGACTTGTTCATACAACTCATTCATTTTGTTCGTTCGGTGTTGATCGCCTCCGGTACAATCTTGATTGAACATAAGATTGTTCTTTGCATTTCTTATGTCAATGCCATCAAATTTTATGAGCCGATTAGGGTCTTCGTTCAATTTATAGCGAATCATTTGCAAGAAGTTCTCCAATATATTATCTAAATGCGTTGTCAAATTTGTCGTAACATTTGACAAATATTGTTGATTCAAGTATTCAAATGCGTTGCCCATTTGGTACCTACTTGGCCATTCAAATTGATCATCGGCAATCATTTCAAGGAATCCACGTGGTATTTTCGGTTGTTTTGGATTTTCCAAATTTTCTCGTGATACGGCGGCGAAACACTCACGTATAACATTTTTTCCATCACTGTCAATGAAATATTGCCGATCATCGTTATCTGCTGCAAGGTTGACAACATATAAAAACAATGTCGAACCTAGGTAGCATATTACTGTACCATTGTAGCATTTATGGAAAAAATGCTCTGTTAGCGCTTCCGAATATTCAGACTTGAATACCGAAGGCGCTGACAGTTTTATCGATCGCAACTCTTCATTGTCGTTCAATTTTGCCGTATTTTTCTTAAAGGCTGAATTTATTTTTGCACGTCTCCTCTTCATTTTAATGAAAATTAAATCTGTTCAGAAAAAAAACACGAAAAAATTGTCAAATTCGTGACACACAGTCCATTGATCACTTCAAAAAAAAAAAATCAAGAAAAATGGTTCGTTTTTGAGTACTTACCAACAACACTGTCACATTCACTGCAAAATGACAAAAAGCGCGTTCGAAAATGTTGTATTCACGATGCAATGGTCGACAATTGGAACACAAGGCTAGCGAGAGAGATTAAATAATTGCATAAATTTAATTAAAACACTTTTTCATTTGAAAAATATATATACAAATATAGAGCGGTCAAAGAGACGCTTACTGCTGTGAAATTCTTTACTAAACTGTGGAATCACCTCAAAAATGCACCCGAATTTATAGGGAATTATTGTTGAATCGACAAAAGTAAACGTTTATTAAAAATGGCCGATGATCAAAATCGAAATGTAAATCACCGTATGAAAATATTATTTGTAAAATAGCATAACAGCACTCTTGGTTTGAAGCACAATCTTGAAAATGAACAGAAACTGTTTTTCAAACGTTTTGATATGATGAAAATGAGATTTTATTTGTGTTGTCGAAGAAAACGATTTATTTAGTCACTTTCATTTCACCATCAGAATATATTGTGTTCTGATTTACAAAACAACTCCTTCTGAAATGTTACGATTGAAACTAATCAACACAATGCACCGTACACATTTGAAGTAACAAGCAAAATGAACGTCGGCGAGAAATGTCAAATTATAAACAAAGAGAGATGTGTGATTTTCGGTTGAAATTTGAATTTTGCTGACACAAGCAAATTAAGAAAAATCTGACTGAATACACAGAGTGATACATAATGTATATGTAGACAGAAATGCATATGAATAATCAATACGTTGTATCAAATGCTGTTATTGCTTACGAAGCATACTGTTAATCAACGAACACACATAGCTATCACACGGAGTCTGTCGAAACGTTTTATGTAAACACAATCGAAAAGAGAAATGTTTATGTATGCGATGCGATTATTGTTTATAAAAATGCTTTAAACTTCAACTCCGACATCAAGTCTCACACCAGTAAATAAAACAAATGGAAATATTCTATTGAAATATATTACTCTTTTGCATACAATTTTCTTTCAAAAATTACCACTAAACTGGGCCAAAACATTACATTTTTCAACGTTAAAATGAATAAAAAAACATTACATTTTTGTTTGTTGGGAAGTTTATTGTTTCCTCTGCATGTTTCGTCACTTTTGCGTCTTTCTTACCTCGTTCTGAATTCCAAAAAATCAAAATTTAATTACATGATACGTGAGATGTGTACACAACCGGCGAATCGAACTTAGAACACTGTGTCAAAGAACAAAACAAATGAACAAGTGTTAAAGTGTGTTTTTTTTCTTGTTATTGTTGTTTGTCTCTCTTTTTCACATTCTCACTTTTACCATATCTCTCGTTTTATTATTGCTTGTATCACCAGAGGTGAGAGGACATTGTGCATATTGATTGCCTTTAAAGTCTAAAATAGCATCCAAAATGTAGCAACAACACAACACATTGTGGTCGGTATGGAAAATAACGTCATATTGAGAGTGTTAAGTTATGCGGATGCCATCGGCTGATGCTGTTGTTGCCTGCCGATGATGATGCATAGAGAACAACCGCAACCAAGTGCCATTTAATGCGCGAGAGAATCACGCACACACACTAACCGCATAGGACATATACGCTGAATTCAAAATGAATAAGAGCAGAGCAGAGAATATGTAAGCGCATGAGCGCAAATGATGACGGCAAACATTATAAAACAACGACTTTGTACACCACGAGAACAAATAATCGATCATTCTTTGCTAATGACCGCATTTTTTGCTACCGTTCGTTCGTTGAGTTCCTGATTTTTCCCTCTCATTTTGGTTGCGGTCTTGGGCAACCGATACGGTGAACTGGATAGAGTGTCTTTCGATTGAAAGGCCGATTTTATATTGTATTGCTCAATATATAGTATCGTAGAGCCGCGAAATGAATCTAGATTGCCCTTTCTCTCTCTCTCTCTCTCTCTCTCTCTCTCTTCCTCTTCTTTTCATCATTCAATTGTATTTTATTCGCTGTTGCTACTACTACTGTTGCTTTGCATCTGATGTCGATGTGTTCATTCTATGGCCGGATGGATTAGGCTCGGGCTTGCCACTAGAAATGTTCTAGTAGAAAATCTTGCATTTGATCGCATAATTCATTTCGAACGAAAAACCAAGTCGTGGATTTGTATAAATGCAAACAATACGATCGTCTTCTTCTTTTCCGATCAGAATACAAAAAAAAGGAGTAAATCTTTTTTTTCTTTCGAATTTCTCGTTCGCTAACTGGTGACAGAGCGAAACGATAATGTGGTAGGATATATATATTTTTTCTCAATTCATATACACACAGGCAATTGAAAGAGTTTTAAAGTGAAGGCGCGTGTGCGCGCTACCAACCGTATTCGCGTCGACTGTGCTCATGGTCATTAACGCCTTTGCCGATGCATCAAATTCACATAACACGTAGAAACCACACATAGCTACACAGCACAAACACACAAAGCATAACACGTTTGCAAAATTGCATATTTAGACATTTATCACATTCTTTAAATACGTACGTATTTATTTATTTAGTTATTTATTTCGTTTGATTCGTTCGTTGGTTCGATGTGTGCTTTTTTTCGTTCTTTTTTTCGCTCAAATTTCTTGGTGCATTGGTTGCTCGATTGTGCGTATCGATGATCGCCACTCTTGCCCGTTTCTCTACCTGCAATCTTTTGCACGGCTATAGCAACAATTCAATATAGGTATGTGCGTGTGTGTGTGTGTGTGTGATGAACTACAACAATAACGCAGAATTTATGTACCAAATAAATCGATATGCCTTCGCATGATACATAATTGAATTCGAGCAAAGATGCACGGAATGAGTTGCATGCAATAACAATATACACAAAAAAGGAGCACAGACAATTTATTACCTAAAACCGCTTCTGTCTCTTGCAAATTTCTGCAAACAATTTTCAAACATTCTCGCGTCGCATGGAATGCGTTTGATTTTTGTTTTGTTGTTTTGCTGCTGCTGCTACTACTACGTTTTGAGTATCACCGTTGTTGTTGGTCAAATCTGAAAAAGTGCGATGCGTTGGACGATGAACACAAATTAAACATTTTAAACATATTTTTCCGAATGAATATGCTGATGCTGATCAAGTGCAAAAAGTGTCGATGTTGCGACAATGAAACAACAACAATGATTTAAAAAGAAATTGTGTGTACGCTTCCAAATTCGCTTCAATTTGAAAATGACAGCAAAAGCGGAGAAGAGAATCCGTTTTTGGTGATTAAATCTTGTTTCTTTTGAACGGATTCACATTTAAAAATGTGCGATCACGTAAATTTCGTCAACTCACTAAAACCGATCGTTTTTATGTTGATATTTTCTTTCTCTCCCCCCCGCGCACATCTCTCTCTCTATCAGTTTTGCTTTGAACCGATCGGTGAAGCGACGCGATGCTGAATAGTCTTTTGTTATTAAATAATGTGCTCCCCTTGCGAGATGCACCTGTTTTTGTCGATGTATTCGTTTGCACACTTACTCTGACTGGTTTAATTAGGATCAGAGACCAATTTGAAATGCCTAATCATTGTATAAAATAATAAAGTCATAAAACTGCAAATCCGGTTTTGTGCGCGCACAATGATACATTTTAACGTCACTTGAAGAACAGAAAACAAAGATAGATTCAAATACTAAATCAGTGCATGTTTTCTGTGCAACTTTACGGCGAGAGAATAACAAAAATATATCGAAATTCCAATATCAAAAAATAAATACAATTACATCATGGTAATTTGCAAATGAACTTCAATCGGTATTTCGAATTAGCTGCTTCGATGAACAAAAAGAAAATAGTTTGTCGTAGTTAACATGTTTGTATTTAATTGAAACAAGTGCAAAACATCATCATTTATTAAACTCCACACAAAAAAATATAATTTATGTTAATTAATTGTTTGGTATTTAGCTTCTTGTTCATGCACCCATCGAATTTATCTTTGAATTATTCCGCGTTTATCAAGACATTTTCTTGTTTGCATTACAACGCACCAAAGACCCGCACATCGTTGTCGGTCGAATGTTTATCGAATTAATAAACACGTTAATGAATTAATATTAATAAACATGACAAAATTTATGTAATGTGTCATCGTACACAAAAAAAAAACAAATTGTCGCAAGCACGACTTTAACTAAACAAAAAAAAAACAGTGCGGAAGAGAATTGAACAAATACAAAAAAGTGTGTGCAAAAAAATTGCCGGAGAAGCGTAACATCACCGGAAGAAAATTTAAATTGCAAAATAATTTTGCCGACTGTGTATGCGATGAGCTTTAAACTAAAAAATATATATGTAATAATAGAATGCGTTTAACGAAAATTACGCAATTTAACGAAAAAAAATACATGCGATAGCCGGTTGAATGGCAAAGTGACATAAAACAACTCGACTCATCATTCATACTTTAGATTGGTAGTGCATGGTCGCTAGTGTGAGTGTGTTTGGGTGTTATTTTTGTGCTTCGCTTCGTTCACTGTTGAATGCGCCAATGCTGTCAATGCTTAATAATGATTTGATGTAATGGCTTGCAAATGTACCAATAAATGATGACTTATCGCCGACCAAATATATATATTATATATATAAAATTTGAAAGAGGAGGGAGCCTATGTAATACAACCAACTTTTCATTCAACAACAACAAAAACGACAATTGTTCATTTCAAATTATGTGCGTTGACACATACACCGAACACGAACGACAACGTGTAATTATTTCTGGACATTATTATGATCGGTCAAAGTAAATGGCATCCACACGTTGATCGTGTTGCATTTTACACATCTGATGATCATTCTCTCAAATATGTAATATGTCTTTTCGACGCTTTCGGTGAACGTGATTTCATTTGTTTTATTATTTTACTCAATTTTTTTCTCTCTCTATCTTTTGCTCTTTCGCACTCCCTGTAACTTTACAATCGTATTTATGCCGTGGAAAATACGTTTTGAATTGAACTAAAAATTGAAACAGTCAGCATTATTCTTCAGGGCACACCCTGTATGTGCGAACATTAAAAGCACCGATGAACAGTAGCTATATACGTGCACGCCACACATACGTTTTTATTTTTTATTATTATTTTTGTGTTCACAATTTTGCGCGCATGTATATTTTCCATTGATTAACTTCTTATTTTAGAGTGCGATCGCATTTCAGTAGTAGTTATGACGATTGTAATCGTCAGATGCAAAGGGAACAGCAAAACTAGCAGCAAACAGCACTCATTTATGACTTGTTTTAAAATGTTTTGGCATTCATTTAATATATTATGATGACACTTACCACTTGTGATAAGCATCAAATTGCACGACAGACGAAGTACACTTCACGTGTGCCTGACTCTTTTGTTGTTGTACATTGTTTATTTAATTTTTTTTATCTGAAATTGCAATTAAATGGATTCAATGAAAGCGCAATCATTATTCAACCTTCGTGTCAGTTTTACATCAAACACATTTTGTCTAAAGTTACAAATTATTGTTTGTGCGCGATCAAATAATATGGTATGGTATCGGTATTATTGGGTAACCAAATCTGAGCATCAAAACTATATCATATGTTGAAATGTGTGTGTGTGTGTGTGTGTGTGTGTGTGTGTGTGTGTGTGTGTGT